TATGGTCGCAATCCGTGCATCGCGAACGTGAAATTTCTTGCGGGCTCGGATGAAGAAAGTCGTGAGTCTACTATCAAGACTTTCTGTTCCTTCCTTGTTGGCTGCTCCAAGAGTTCACGCATAAGTCTTCCCACTTCGCGGTCTTTCAGGTTGCGATCTTGGTGCCCAGCTTTGTGTCCTCAATTCCTGGCAGTGATCGTTCATGTCCTGGCGGTGATCCTCTATTTTTGCATATTTCTCTAACTTGTGCCCTCTTTTGGTACCTAAAACATTTGTATCATCTAATAAACCCTAAAACGCTAATATTTTCTCCGAGAAACGAATAAATGGTATATATGACGCTATAATTACCATGAAGACCATGAAATGATTGGAAACAATCCTAAATATAGGCTCTAAATAACACCAGTTTGGGTGTTATCCAATGCAGTTAAAAGCGCGATTCTACCTAGAAGCGGAAAATGGGTAAAATCGTAAAACGTAGAATCAAAGTGTAAAAGCGTAATTTTTTGACACACCCTCTAAAATAGCTAAAATATGTTAAGTACAACATATAGTATGTAAAATGTGAGTGTGTAGATTTTATATAAGTGAATAACTACATGAAATTCATAATTAAAATGTAATATTTAACACATAAACTAATTTGTGTTGACTCAAAAGTAGAGAAAACTCATAACATCTTAATAATAAGCTCATAAACGTAGATCGTAACCCGTAAATGAGCTTGAGAATCCAAATTCTCATAACCTGGTTTGAGTTTACATAATTACATACGATCAATTACCCATAAACTTTTATCGTAACCCAGGTAAGAGCCACAGGTGAAGATTAAGGGAGAAGACTCATAGAAGGTCAGCGGTTGTTGAGAATACCATTAGGTGTCTTTTCAACCTAATGTGAAGCCCCTATCTCGACACTAGCTGTAGAACGAGTGATGAAATCATGTTTTACTTTTTTTTTATTTTTTGCTGATATGTCTCCAAAGTTACCTCATTTTCGGCCAATTAGCACATTTTGATGAGATGATCAAGAGCGTATAAAAATGCTTCAGAATTGCAATTTCACTGATTTTAAGCGATTTTACCTATGTTTTTACCAGTTTTTGTGACTAAGCGACTTTAGGTAGAAACTAAATCGTTTTGGTGGCTTGGATACGTAAAAACGTAAGTTTTTACGTTTTAATGCGCGATTTTGACTGCACTGGTGTTATCAACTCCCACACACTATGGTGTTTGGTTCTCTCCAAGCAAACCTACTTTAACAAGTACAACTTGATTAATAAAATCAACATGGTTTGAATTATAGTTCTTCGTTCCACTAGTTATAATAGTCGAGGTTGAGTGAACGTTACTCCCATCTCACTGTGAAAACACAAACTCTCGGATGAAGACCATGTCAACTAAGAAGGTTAAGACATTAAAGGTGTGCATCGAGGGACTCTCAAAAACAATAAAAGCAATGGAATCTTAGATAGTGCTCTTTTTTCTTTCTTTTCAAGGCAGAAATTATTGTTTTGAGTCTTATTTTTTAAACATTGTCGCACTTGCCACCAAACATATGTAATTTTGCAAATATACATCTCTCCCTCATGACCAATAGTGAAAGGAACATTGCCTTCCCTATCAAAGCCCTATGTGGGGAACATGATGTTCAGATTCATTTCCCGAGCACCAATTCCCAGCCTGCAATCCACATCTCATAGACAGATGGATTGCCACACATGTCGAGTTCAAATGATAGTTGAGGTCTCGTGACTGGCTTAGGAACATTCTATCCTCTGCATACGAGTCCGTGAGGAGAGAAGTATTTGGGGATGGCAGGTAGTAAAAGATGATTGAGATGTGATAAAGCTATCCAAACCCCAAACACATCCTCAAATGGCACTCCACAATGAGAGAAGAGTCATTTGATGGCTCGACTCAAACACTATGCCTGGTTGCCTATCACGTGAGAACCTCAATTTTCAAAATGTTTTTTCAAAGTTGAGCACGTTTTGCACACGTTTTTTTGGTTGGACATAGGTAGAAAGTCCTTCACACATGTCTTTACCTAAGTAGGGAGTAAGACATACACCAAAAACTCTTGTAAATGCAAACTGCTCCCTATAAACACACCATATCAAATATCAAAGCACATTGAGGAGGTAGAGGCTAGGAAAATATGTTTGGAATCCTCAAATTTGAACATTTTTGGGTATATTATCAAGGTTCCAAACACTAATTCTAAGCCAATGTTTCACACACAAAACACAATTAATCGATATCAAACACTCCCACACACAATCATCAATGTGTTACATTCATAATCAATGTGTTACTACCAACTATGGAAAAATCATCATGAATTATTGAAATAGACATATAAATATCCCCCCCCCCCCCACCCTGTCCTCAATGTGGGAGAATAAAGGTAGATTCACGAATTGTTACCATATGGTGTTTTGGTGAGTTGGTGTAGGTGCACAATTGTAGGTCTTGGTCTTCCAGGTTGGTATAGAACGATAAAACCCATAAGCAAAAGAGAAAGTGGAAGGTTATGGGGCACAAAAAAAACATAGATAAATAGACATACAGGTTTAATACAAATTATTATTTTCTAGTAGGTTGGGTTTCATATTTTGGATAGGAAAAGGGAGAGGGAGGCCGCCGGCATATGTACTCATTCTCTAGTTTAATGGTATGTTGAAGATTGGAATTCATTAGTAATTGTAGTTATCTTCATTCCTCTAAATATTCTCTTCGTTCTAAGTCTCTTTCTTACGTTTATCTTTCAACATCGACGACGAATATTGCGTGAAGGTTCTCACCGGAGAAATACACATAACTTGTCTTCTTTCTTCTGTCCTACAGATTGAGTGGAAATAAGTGCAGCACCCTTGGCGCGAGGTTTGCGGTTATTGCAATATTTTGTTGTTGTTTGTTGGTAGTTACCATGTTAAAAGCCTCAATAATAGTCGGAGTTGGCTTCATGGAGAGGATTTGAGACTTCAGCGTAGCAAAGACATCATCCACTCCGATCAAAAAATCAAAGAGACGAATGATTTCGTCACGGTCACGTGGACGCTTCTTCAAATTTTAGGTGCACCTCCCACACATGCATGATGACAAGCTTCTTCCCACAAGTTGCACAATATCATGTAGTATGTGGATACATAGAGTTTTCCTTGTGGCAGTTGACTGATTAGCCATCGTAGCTCATAATGTCTGGGTGCACTCCCCTAGCCAAAATTCATACAGAGAGTATCCCATATCTATTTCTTTGTTAAATTAGCAAATCGGATGTTGTGCCTGACTTCAGCAGTCATCGAGCCCTTCAACCACCCTTTAATCTAGGCATCACAGCGCAACCATGCGCCTTGTTATGGTTCAACAGTGGGATGAGGCAAGGATACATCCATGAAACTCAACTTATTCTTTGCCACAAGTGAATCATGCATCTCAATGACCCACTCCTCGTAATTGCTTGATGTTAAGGGATCACCAACGTGTTGGGGATCTTATTGTAGAAGATAATAGATATTGACATTAAAATTAAACGGCTAGGAATGCCGCTAGATCCAAAACCACTCTTCTGATCATCGCTCATAATGCGATACGTTTGACGGGGTCGTCAAACTCAGAAAATCACAGGAAGGATCTTGCTACTCTAATACCATTAAATAAAATAAGAAATTGAAACACGAGACAACAATTTATGTCATTTCCCTGGTTGATCTTAACATAACTAGTCCACGGAGAGTGGTAGCTCTGTACTTAGGTTTTATTATCTATATATCTCAAGGTTGTAGCAAATAAAATGACATTAGGTCATATATATATACAATTTCGCTATGTACATTTTAGGGGTCGTACTATCCATGTATTAGCAACTAGGGTTAGTGTTATAAAACTGAACATTTAAGTCCAAAATAACGCATATTAGACAGCCTAGTTATTCTGCAAACTTGAAGATTCGTTAGTATATACTAACTAATATCCAAAATATATGAACTAGTATCTAAGTCTACTGATTTTACTAAAGTATCTAGATAGCACAAACTAGTATCCAGATAGCATATACCAACTAATATCCACAATCAACCGACTAGTATTCAATATGGGTACTCTTATGTATTATCTGGATACTAATTATGTGATGTATGGAAACTATTTTGTGTTGTCTAGATATTAGTTTGTGAATTTGGGATAATAGTTGATTCATGGTGGGTATCTGTTAGCAAACCTGGAATACTAGTCTTTGCTCTCTAGATACTTTAGTACTTGGATACTAGTTCATGTATTTTGGATATCAGTTAGTATCTGCTTACGAATTTTCAAGTTAGCAGATTAACTTTCCCCTTAGGCAACATCTATGATATCACAGTTTGGTTTCACGGTCACAATTGTGACATTCACCTTGGGTCTAAAATGCAAACCCATTCCAACATATTGAATTGGCGATGTAGGTGTATTTCATTTTTATCTTCAAACTAAGGGCTCGTTTGCTTCATGGATTTGAAAAATGAAGGTTTTGGTTAAAATCTGGGTTTTACAAAACCATGGATATATGATGGAATTGCCTCATTTGATTTTTGGTACAAACCATTGTTTGCTTGTTGGATTTCATGATGGATTTGGCATTGTTATATTTGTGGTTGTATTAGGAATTTACCTTAGTACCCTTATTGAGTATTATTTATTTTTACATTATAATATTTATTAGTAAACAATTTTCATCTAATAGCTTTGTTCCACTAACACTATCGGAACAAATAGGCTTGTCAATGGGTAGGCCTATTGGGTTTTTTTACCCAAATACCTTGATCCATATGGGTATTGGGTTTGGACCCAAATGGACCCAAATTTCTTTTTATTTTTTTGGGTTGGGTTGGGTTTAGATTGAGTCCAGAATTGACATGTATATTTGGGCCGACCCAAATGGGTCCATTTGGGTATAAGTTAGATTTTAGTTAGTTGAAAGTCCTACTTATTAGATTTTGGTGAACCCGATAATTTATGCAAATCTGTATAATTTTCTTTCGATTATAGCTAATTGTTAAATACAAAGCGTCCTGCAAACCACAACAATTCATGGCCATCTTCATCGAGATTCCGTCTCTAGCCATCTGCATAAAGCAGCATCATCATTAAGAACTTGAGATATCTAACCATCCATCTATAAGCAATTTGATAACACTTGATTGAATCAACAATACACAAATAACTACACTACTTACTGTCTCCAGAAGTATCCAACTTGACACATTTGAGAATGTTGAAATCTCCCCCGTAGTATCTGATGGCCTCAGCAAAAAACAACGGACTGGAAGGGTTGTTCCCTTCCTTGGGCTCCTTGGCGGTGAAGTTGAAATGGAAAACCATCACACGATCAAAGAGAATGCAACGGCAAAGAAAGGGCTTGTCAAACACATAACTCACGCACTGTTCATCATCAAACAATAATAGATATAAGTAAGCAATTCGATCCATAGACTGGGAAACAGGGAATTGAACAAGCTCTGCTAGCCAAGTGATAATTGAGAAACACAAAAAGCAAAACAACATACTTCCGTCTTGTTGTAGTATTCTAAAGCTATATCAGCAAGGCCTAGACGTCCTCGTCTTCCGAAGAAGAACTACAATCAAATCAATATGAGTGAGATCATGATCGTAAAGTCATATCCAATGAAGCATACATGCACATAACAGGCTCAAGGAAACTAATTACCGAACAACAAGAAGACACCTAACTATCTAGCTCACTCCCACTAATCGAACCCATAGTGGATGACAATTTCAGAAACAGATCATTGAGTTATAGGCTCAACTTGTCAATAGCATTCGAGCAGGCTGATAATTTGCCCAGATTCAATTGCCGACACCGACCCAGATTGTGCCGCGAAGCTTCCTCTCGCCGTCGCCGACCCAGATTCAATTGCAGACTCAACCCCGCCGTCAACCGACTGAACCGACGCAAACCCAGAACCAAAGATGAGACAAGTAAACCAAACCTAGATGAACGAAAGGTTAGAGCGCGAGATACAGGGGAAAAGAAGAACCGAGCAAACAGAGAGGGGGCAAGATCTAGAAGAGAAGAAGATGGGGCAAACTTGGAGATCGAGACCAGCACGAGAAGAGCGAGAGGTGGGTTTCTTCCACAGCCTCGGGGTCCGATGGTGGGGAAAAGGAGAAGCTGCCAGCGTCGGGGCCGATGGTCGCTGATCGAGAATCGGGATTGCAGGCCGGCGGCGTCTTCGGGGCTGATGGGCTTCTTTCCGAATCGCCTGAGCTTATTTGCTCTGAGAACGTCTTTCTCCGTGGTTCTTCGGATTGGAACGGTTCCTTCAGGGCAGGATTCCCCTGAATCGTGCCATTGCTGGAAGCTCTCTGCTATTATTTCCTCTGTTTCTGATGTCTCATTGCTCTTCGGCCGCTCTGGTGGATCCTGGAGTGAGATGAATCGATAAATTAAGCTCAAGAGTTTCGTCGAAAAGCAATGAAATGTGCATTTTTCTCAGGAAACAAACAGTGGAAGAGGAGAGGAGGAATTTGTGGATCAACCAACCAAGGGTTTGTGTCCTTTGAGAAGGGGATGATCAAATGCTGGTTGAAGATGGGACAATACACAGTCAAACACATCACCGTCAGGGCTCTGCATCAAAACCCAACCCCAAATTGCGTTTAGGAAAGTAAAATGAAGGAAAGGAAAAGGGAAAGGAGAGAAGGGGAAAGGGAAAGAACCTGAATTGTCTTGACAGCAGGCTTGTTGATCTTCTTGAGATAAGCATTGACTCTCTTAAGCTTGAGCAGTTCTTTCCTTGGCAGGAAAGTCTGGGTGCTGTTGGCTGAGGAATCCGACGAGACAGGGGATGCGGAGTAACAGAGGGAGACAAGCAGGAAAGCAACAAAAATGTGGGATAGAGATAGAGAAAGAGTCAGGGTAGTAGCAGAAGAAGAAGAAGAAGCAGCCATTTTTGAAGAATAATAATAATAATGTAGTTGCTTGTGTGTTGTTTGTATCGCTGGGGCTAATGTGGTGGTAGGTTCCTGTTGCGAAGGAAGACGAAGGAGAAGGTGGGTTTTTTGTTGTCTTCTTCTCCATGGAAATATTGAGCCATCTTCTGCTTCAGCCAGCTTCTTCATCTCTCTTCTTGTTCATGTCGATCCAAAATTGGAGCACGCTCTCATTGCCATTCGAGGAAAGACAAAACTCAATCTACAAGTTCAAGACTCAATAACCCCCCTCGAATAAGAAACTATAGAAACAACCAACCCAACCAGCTCTTCTTTTTTTTTTTTTTTTTAATTTGTTCAGTAGTTGGGCGTTCTCCTCAAAACAGCTCTCTCTCTCTCCTCTGTTTCTTGTAGAATAGTCTGGGGTTATGTGTAACAGAGATTCTGGTGGTCTCTCTCTTGGTATTGAAATCTGACAGAGAGAGCACACACACAAATGCACAAAAGAAAAAGGTTGGGGGAGATGGGGGAGCATTAATAGGAGAGGAGAGGAGCATATTAAAATAGGACCCAGATGGGCAGAGGCTCACTTTCTGAATACACTTTTTCTTTTTTGTTTGCTGTAGTGGTCAGTACAGACTACAGAGAGAGGGAGAAAACAGAGTAATTGTGCTCTGTTTTTTTCAGTTAATCTCTGGAAGAATGACAGTAGAGTAGAGAGTGGGAGTTAAGGGGGGGTTTTGAATTAAGGGAAGGTTGGGACATTGTTGTGATCTTCCAAATTGATCAGTCTGCTATATTCTCTGGGACTTATGGAGAAGGTGAGGAAAGAAAGGGAATCACACATCATCGTCATCTTTGCTTTGTTTTCTTTTCAATACTGGTAAATAGTTCGAGAGCTGCCATTTTGAAATTAATGAACATCATCAATCAATCAATAACAACTCTATATTTTACACACAATTAGACAATTTCTTAAGGTTTTCAATGTTGCAAAGTATGCTTTGAAATTAATCATGTAGTGCTTGTGTGCAATGAATAATAATAAATATTGAATGCAAAATTAATATGCACTACAAGTTAGTAAATGAAAGATAATAAGTTGGTGATTAGTGAAATAAGTAGGGTTAAAATTGTAAAAAAGTAATCATGGACTTTGTACCCCAACACAAATTCCACCTCTTGGTGTGGAATTCACAAGTCCGTTGGGTCCACAGATTTGGACTCTAAAACACTATTGGCCCCATGGATTTGTCCCTGCTAAATCTATCAAGCAAAAACGATGGATTGTGTGTAAAGTCCATGATGGTTAATTTTTATGTACCAAATCCATGACGAAATCCATTAAGCAAACAAGGTCTAAGGGTTGGAATCTCCTTTATACGAAAGGAAGTCCTTGAATCGACGACCAGGGGCAGGCAGGCCTTCATGCAACAAGCTGTTGGAAAAACAAGAAACTTGTCCACGCAGTATGTTCACGATTCCAGGATAGGCAAGCATAATTCGATTCATAGAAGAGGTTTCTTCGTCGGAATATTAGTAGCCTTTCAGGGAAAGCAACACACATTTTGAAGCCCATTCCTTCCTTCCCATAGCCACAATCTCTTACTTTATCACAAAGCTTGGAACTATGGCTTCCCTCCACAGTACCCTTCCTCTTCTATTTGTATTACCGCACACCTATATATGCTGCATATTAAGGGCCTAATTGATATCTACTTCACCAAAGCTTCTCCCACATTTCCATTCCCAACCCACCTCGTCAGAAGAAGAGCCCATTTTTCCATCCAGGAGAAGAGCAAGAAAGAGAGTACTATTACAACATGCCCAAGTACGCATCCGATTCCGATGACGAGGTGTCTGCCGTGCCTTCCAAGCTCTTCCGCCGGCAGAAGCCAATGCGTGCTCTTCTCGGAGGAGGCCGAGGTCTCCAAATTTCAGTTCACCCATGTTGATATATACTATGATACATTTCCTTCGGTGAAGTTGACTGATTTTTATAAGTTTGCTTTGGGGTTCATGCAGTTGCGGATGTATTGCTCTGGAGGGACAGGGCGGTCTCTGGTGCACTGATGGCCGGGATCTCGTTGGTATGGTTCCTGTTCGAGGTGGTGGACTACAATTTCGTGACTCTTTTGTGTCACATTTCCATCACGGCAATGCTCGTTTTTTTCATTTGGTGCACTGGTGCTGATTTCTTCAACTGGTAATACACCTACCCAACTCCACAGCTTATTAGATTCAATGACATTGAACTTTTCACCTGTCTATAATGATGTCATATACATAAACTGCTATCTCATCAGGAAACCTCCACGGATCCCAGAAATCGTGCTGCATGAACATACCTTTAGAGAAGCTGCCACAGTCTTCCACAGAAGATTCAATCAAACGTTGGCCATTCTCCTTGACATCGCCTGCGGAAGAGATCCACGACTCTTCTTTCTGGTACGGGTTTCTAGCTAGCCATTGAATCATAAAAGCAACTAAGAACCGAATTTTTCTAGCAGTGGCCATGATCAGATTAGCTGCTGACTGATCGGTCTAATTTTCTGCGCAGGCAATTGTGTCTCTGTACATATTATCAGTGGTTGGCACCTATTTCAGCTTCCTGAATTTCCTTTATCTAGGTAAACCCATAACCCGCCCAGAAATGCACCTTCCCTGCATTGTCTTGTTCTAGAGTATATGTGGCTAATTGGTTTTACCTGCAACCTGAATGAAGGGTACGTTGGACTGCAAACGCTTCCGTTTCTGTACGAGCGGTACGAGGCTGAGGTCGACTACTTTGCTGGAACCTTGATGAGAGACATCAGGAGGGCATACAGGAAGTTCGACTCCAGGGTTCTCAACAAGATACCAAGAGGCCCTGTCAAGGAAAAGAAGGCCCGGTAGATTAAAAAAAGTTCCACTCTCTACTTGTATCATAATCACACACACATACCCGTTAAATACTTACAATTGCGCCATACTGCCTGTACATATTGGAATCGCAATCTACCCACAATGTTCAAGATCAATATCAAATATATTAGTTCATTTATCAAAAAGCATTCAATCCCAGAGTTCACCTGCTGCATGACAATGACAAATTGACAATCCGATCATGATAACAATTACAAGCCAAACCAACCCAGAAAGGAAAGACTGAAACTTCAATAGCATTCCTTAGGAAAGCAAATTCATCACATGACTTGGAACCTAAATGCGTTGATGCCTAAACTAACCCAGAAAGGAAAAACGAAAACTTCAACAGCACTCCTTCGGAAAGCAAATTCATCACATGACTTGAGACCTAAATGCGTTGATGCCTATCCATACTCCTAACCTCTAATGCCGCTTCCATAAGGGACTTGAGACCTAGATGAGAGCTAGCTATACTAAGCATGGTTTTGGTCATTCTCATAGGAGCTGTCAACTGTTTGAGTAATCGGCCAATTTTGCATATCAAAGGAAATCTTCAGCAATATAGAGCAGCAATTTAAGCAACACAAAGTTCTGCATTGGCTGAGTCTGAAATTACAGCTTACACATTGCTTTGAAGCAAATGATAAAATTATGTGCATTGTTGAAACGAAAGGAGAATCTCCACCTAGACCACAGTGCAGAGACAGATCAGCTTATACCTGAAGCTGATCCTTTACATGCATCACATAATAGCAAACACAATCAGAAGACAGACAAACATAACTTCAGGCAATCGACATATCACAGAACATGGACTTGAGTTGCATATAGGGGATCATTCAACATTAACTGCAAGTCTGCAATAGCACATTACTGAATCAAACCTCCAATGACTTCAGAATGCCACAGTAAATAAGGACTTCCCATAGAAATAACGCTGATTGTATCATTCAACCAGACCGAAATCAGTATCGAAACACATATTCGACCCTGGAACAGGACGATAGAGACACACATGGCGGCATTTTTCATTTTGCTAAATGTCTGTTACATAACAGTATCAAGCTTAACCTTGACGCTAACTACACTACCCATCTAGAATCGAAAAGACACAGCATTCATTCAATTATCCTACGAAGACCTTGATAATCTGCTGTCCTTCCTCTGGTTCAGTTCCTTGCCTGTGAGTACTACTCTAAATAGTACAGAATAAAAAATTTAATATTTTCCTTCATCAAGCATGCCATCACGATTTGGTCTTAACGGTGACTCCAAGCTCACCTGCAACAATAACAGCAGTAGCCATACCAATGAACATACCATGCTCAATCACTCCAGGAAGCCTGTGAATGGCATCGCTGGCAGCCCCTAAATCCCCAATATCGCTCTTGAAGAACAAGTTCACAATGTAATTGCCGTTATCAGTTACAAACGGCTCTCCACCTTCCTCCCCGCTAAGGGTCCTCAATTTTGCCACACAGCCAGCGTATTCAAAAATCTTCCCCAGGCTGTCCTGCGTGAACTTGGAGCAAAAGGGCACGACCTCCACCGGCATCGCCCCGCTGGCTCCGACGTGGGGAACCCACTTCGATTCATCAACAATGACCACGAATTTCTTCGCGGCGCCCTCGATCATCTTCTCCCGAAGCAGAGACCCGCCACGGCCTTTGACCAGATTGAGATCTGGGTCGACCTCGTCGGCGCCGTCGATTGCGAGGTCGAGGGTGGGATGAGAGTCGAGATCCGAAAGCGGGATTCCGAGAGAGGACGCTTGCTGGTGGGTCTGTTTGGACGTTGGGATGCCTATGATGTCCTTCAACTTACCTTGCTGGAGCAAATCAGCGATTCGGTCGACGGCGTGCTTGGCCGTGGAGCCGGTCCCGAGGCCGACGACCATGCCGGATTCGACGAATTCGACGGCCTTGTAGGCGGCGATTTTCTTGAGCTCGTCTTGGGAGAGGATTACAGGGGAAGGGGATAAGGAGGGTGCGGAAGCTGTGGATAGCTTCTCGGAGGCGATGAATGGAGCGCAAGGAATGGCCATGGCTGAAAAGCGGGAGAGAGGAGAAGGGGAAATTGAGGCAGGGAGACGAAAAATGCGGAGGTGGCGGCGGCGGATGGAGGTGAGGAGGCGAAGGAGGGAATGGCAAGAACTTAAGAAGGTCTAATAATGAGATGTGGAGCAACGCAGCCGCAGGGTTCTTTAGATTTTTCTAATATTAAAAAAAATGTTTTTTTAAAGCTTCCCTGGATTTTGGTTTGGTGATGGAGTGGAAGAAAGAGAGTAGTAAAGGCGTGGTTCCCGCGGTTTGGAAAAATCTAAGAATTCAATCTTCAAGGTATATTTTTTTATAGTAAAAGCCAGCTTTTGAGATACGCAAAATTTTGGTACGCCAAAAAGATTCGCATAATTTTGTTGTAAGATTATTTAAAATGTCAGTACCAAGAATCTGGACAAAATTGGTAGCTTGCATGATAAAAATGAGGATAGATTTTAGCAGCCTTTTGCTTTATTTATGGTCTTGGAAGGAGTTGTCAGAAGTCAAAACTAGTAAATAGTTAAGGGGACGTTTGGCTCAGGGAAATTGCGTAGCGATTTGATCCAATTTTCGGCCCGTCCAAGAATTTAACTAATATTTTTGTTTGGATAGCTCTTAAAACAGGTCAAAATTTGGGCTTCAAAATTAGCTGTCATTCCCCAGGTATTTTAAAAATCGACCGTAATTATTTTGTGGAAAAATCTTGGCAGCATCCCAGGATGCAGCCAGTAGCTGCTACCCTTCCACATGGCTAGCAATTATTGGTTACAAATTTCTTTTTACTTTTAATTATTAAATGCGGTTGGAATGACTTGTATTTAGGAGAGAGGTAACGGAATTAGAAAAGTGTGAGGAAAGAGAGGTAACGGAGCCTTCCCACAAACGGTAGAGAATTTATTGGTGTCAGTCGCACGTCACCCGAAGCAGCAGCCTGTAAAAGCAATGCATAAGTCATTCTCTGCCCTCATGAAAACAAAACAAAACAAAAAAGAGGAAAAGACTTTTGCTTCTCTACTGCAAATCCGAAGCAGCAGCCTGCAAAAGGAGAACTCTATATTCCTCTTGTTTCTTTTTTTTTTTTTTTGACAAGGAGGAATCTTTATTGCATTTCAACTTAATCAGTTACAAGAAGAACACGAAGAACCAACGAAATGGATCCAGTGAGAGGAGAGAATCCCAGAACCACCGATTAACAAACTGTGCTCAAAGGATGCAACAAGGGAGACACAATGCACAGAATGAAAACCAATCACACAAAAGATCCAAACACACGGACCAAAACAGGAACCACAAAATCCCTCTTGCAACCAATCAATCAAAACACAACAAGATGAGGGTCAGCTTGTCTGATCATATCGAAATCCATGACTGTTGAGCAAAGCAAAGCCATGTGCCGCCTCCTGGGGATTGCTCGAAGACATCCATCACAGTGAATCTCGGATTGAAGATTACATGGCGGTGGAGAAGGATGTGAACCAGAATGCTCCAAGCTGAGAAGGCAGAGGGTCCAGGAAGAGAGATCAGTTTCCGAAGAGGTTCAAAGGCCACCGCTGAACCGATTTCCACCGCCGCAACTGGAGAAGACTCACTTCCACAAACCGACGACCAACCAAGCAACACCCACATCCTAGGGAGGTCGGAGAAGGAAAGATGAGAATGGCTTCATCAAAAGAGATGAGACCACCAACCTGGAAGACCAACCACCGCAAGGGTCAGATCGAGACTCCAAGCTGCAAACACCAGGTCCCCCAAACGAGCAAGCCTTGAACTGGAAAATACTATATCTGAAATGCCATAACTACTGGAGAGACTGAAATCCGAATATGAAAAAGCCTAAAGTAAGGCCACAAGAAATGACGACATGAAAACAAAGAAAAAGCAAGGAAAAGAAAGGGCATGGGCTGCCGCCGGTCACCAAAAGGAGCCGACGGCAGCCATGGAGGGCACAAGAAGCTGAGACTTTTTAGAGAGAAGGGAGAGCAAAGAAGAGAAGGTAAAGTAAGAGAGAGTTCGTAGTTTTTTAGCTGCTGTGAGCTTATTTTTCCTTGTCACTTTATTCTACTTTAGATACTTATAGAAGAGCAACGGTTGTCACTGTTGCGGATCATCGAAAGGAGAGTTCATTATTGCATCCTGTTAAATGAATTAAGAAAATAATAATAATGTTAGTAATATTTTAATGAAATCAATTAAAATAGATAAAATGACTAACTTCGTACCTGTAACAATTGTGTGTATGATATATTGTTGAAACAAATTGTAGAATCCAAGTTCTCTCCCATCATGTCACTGTTCTATTTTCGTTGTCTCCCACCAGCAGAGGACGACGACTTCTCGACCGGTAGCCAGGGACTCGACGGCGACGTCTCGACTGGTAGCAAGAACCCCTCCGGCTACTTATCGACCAGTAGCCAGGGACTCGACGGCGGGCTCTCGACTGGTAGCAAGAATCCCTCCACCGTTGATTGCAATCCAAACCCTCAATTCCTCCGACCCCATATCCTAATCAACGTCGTTATTGTCTAGAATGTGTGAATAAGGATCTGGGCATCAACGGATTAACAGGTCATAGAAGACGATGAAGAAGCTAAGCGTTGAAGATGGAGTTTCACTCAGTGGAGGTACGATTTCGTTACGAAACCCTAAAACTCATCAGTGGTCGCCGCTCCGCGGCCGCGGCGCCACCTCGCAGAAGAAGAAGAACTTCTTTGGATACTAAAAATTCAATTCATCCAAGTTAACAAGGTAATTGTTGGTTTTTAATTAGTCGGAAATCGATCGAATCAATTGAATTAGACTTAGTTATGTTCATACACATAAGCCATCTCGTGGTGGGAGGGATCTTGCGCTTGGGCGGGGACTTGTTGGTGGTGTAGACGCGGCCCACGACGTTAGTCCGGGAGGCCGCTCCGCCGAGGTAAGGTTTCACAACTTGGTCGAATTGGGCAGCGCTGGAGACGGGGAATCCCCTTATAAGATTGTCCCTGTTTTGTTGAGAGGCGATTCTAGATGTGACTTCTGAGATTCTATGGCTGAGGTGAAATGTTTCTGGTTTGGAACTTGGATTTCTTGGAAAAAGTTGGCAATCTTATGATTCCCAGGTGAGTAGTTCCTTTTTTTGTATGTCTAGACGAGGGAAGTTCAGAGGATGCAACAGCGGGGGAAGACTCCGGTGAAATCGATGATAAGTGGTGGAGAAGAATCAGTTGTTAGATTCCCTAACTACTGAATCTCTCATCGATAAACAAACAATATATTTAAGGGCTAATACCACTGGAAATACCAACCTTTAGCGAAAATACCACTTATATTACATAATTTTCGATATGTCATTTGTATACCAAATCGTCTCTTCCGTTAAATTTTTTGTTAGAAATTAACAGAAAACACAGTCAGCACATAAAGGGGCAGCTGAGATGGAAAATTTATTAAAAATATTATTTAATAAAAAAGAATCTGGATGATTCCTCTTCCCGGCGCCACCCATCGCCTCCTCTGCTCCATCTCTCCTCGCCGCTCTGCTCCGTTGCTCTGCTTTATGCTTGTGGCTACAACAGCTTTCTCTTCGATTAAGACATTCCATATCCTCCATCCTCCCCTCCACTAGGAGTCGTCTCTAGATCTAGCTATGGATCGAGAAGAAACATCAATTTCGTCTCCCGAATAAAATTACAAATCAATTTCGTCTCTAGATCTAGCTATCCATCCGCGTCATTTGGACAGAAGGACACCTTTGTGAGGGTTCAAAGCTTCAATTACTTTCACCAGAATTGGCGCTCAATCCATCGCATTCGTCGTCGGTTCTCCTCTCCTGATTTCTCCCTCCTTCTCCATCAGCAACAAGTTCCACGGGCGATCTCGGGCGAGATGGTGGCGGCGACCGTCATCATCGCCGTCGTCCTCAAGACTAATCATCTTTCCCCCCTTCTCTCCTCGCTCAGCCTCCCTCCGCGCTATGCCCTCCTCCTCAATCTGGTCAGAGTCGTCGCCGTCAATGGAATAAGAATGGTCAAGCTCTTCCTTCCGCTTGAGATAGAGACAGCGACCAGAAGCTTCCCATCTCTTCCTAGGGAGGGCTTCTTGGTAAGGGAATCAAGACCTAGAATCTTTCATCATCTAAGGGGTTTGGTTAATTAGGATTGGGTTTGTATGGAAATCAATCCCTATGAGAAAAGCAAACACGGAGGAGGGTGATGAAATGGGGTTCGCCGGCCGCCAGGTGAGGGAGGTAATATAAAAATATTATTTGTTTATTTATTAAACAATTAACTTAAATCATAAACATTAATTTCCTACGTGGCATCTAGGTGTCGCATACGTGGACGACACATAAGCGCCACTTTATCAATGGTCAAACATAGTTTGACCACTGTTATGTCAACCGTTAACTCTAACGGTCAATAGAAATTCACGTAACACAAATGACCTGAACCCCCTATAGGTTGGGATGTTAATGTAATTATTGAAACTATGTAATATACGTGGCACTTTCGCTAAAGATTGGTATTTCCGGTGGTATTAGCCCTATATTTAACCCAAATTCAGGATTTAAAATACCAGAAATTTAATTGAGTGATTGTATACCAAATTTCTCATTAACTAAATTCTTAATCCAAACGATCCTTGAATTAAGTTTTCCTACTTTTTTGCATAAAGATAAGCAGATGAACAAATGATTGTGAAATGTTTTTGGAGGTTATTACTATTAAGCATTCCAGCTAATTTACTAGTATAACCATGAGTATATACTCAATTGATCTCGATCGGGATACATTCTTTGAATCTTTAATCAAGGGCTCAAATTATTTGGTTGGAGGAAGTGCGTGGAAATGCCTGATGTGGCCAAATGAAATCAGCTAGCTCGGCCAAGCTCTCTCAAATTGGACTACTAGAGAAGGAAGAGTGGGGTTATGTGATAACACCCAAATTAGTGTTATTTACCCATCATATCTATGTTTGTTTCGTGCTAATTCATGTGTATAATCATTGGAATAGTGTCGATTGCATTCATATTCCGTTCCTATTTGATTATGATGTGATTTTATGGTGCTTTAGACAATACATGCAAATAAGATACGGAAAGGGGTACAAGTGTAGCAAAATGGGTTAGAAGCTTATGATCACAGCCTAGAGAAGGAGAACACAAACGAGAAAGCTGACTGCAAACTCACGGTGAAGATCTAAGCCTGAGAGCCCAAGATCGCGACTGCAAATCTAGAGGCTTCGAGCACGAACTTCGTGAAGAAGCCATTCGAGCCTTGATCACGAGGAAGTTTGCGGCTGCGCTTCCCAGATCATGATCATGAAGTCAGCCTGCCAACCCCTCGCATTTGAAGGCCAAAACGACGATGTCAACAGATCGCGGTATCAAGGAAGAAGATCGCGACTATGATCTTCATCCTGCCTAACCGTGAACTTGTCTGTCCTTTGAAGGCTATAAATATAAGACCCCCTTCCCCCATTTGAGAGAGCTGATTTTGAGATAGAAATTTATGGTTAGAGAGAGAGAAGATAAAGAAGCTGAAGGAAAGAGAAGAAGAGAGGAGGATGAGCTAGAAGAGAGGAGTCATCTTCCTCAACATCAAGTCTTCCCGAATTTCTTCTATGTATCTTATTTCCTCCTTTATAAAGTAGTCTTCTAAGGTATTAGGGATTCTAAACCTCAAATCCTAGTTTTAGGACTATTATGTAATGTATGAATATTTTAGGATTTTGAATGAATGTGTTTATCTAGTTGATTTCATTGCTTCTCTAGCTTTAATTGTGTTTGGGTAAGTCATCTTAATCTTCTCTACTAGCCCACTTGAGCTTCTATGCTGGGTATGGAGTTTTAGAGTTAGACGGGTATGCACCATCAAGCAAATTAGGTTAGATGAATGAATAGGATCTAATGGTGGACGAGATGATTGTACCCTTGCCATAGGAATGCCTTCCTAGATAGAACCCGTGATGAAATCTCGGTGTGACGGTGGGTAGTACCCATTGAAATTAACTATGTTCTTAATGCCCCAGATATGATATCCTAGATCGAGGTAACTGGCATGGGTTTAGGGAGGCATACTCGGAGGCGTGTGGATAACCACGGAAAAGAGCTAACTCACCACATTCACTAAACTCAACTTATTTAGACATTTCATAGTAAACCTATGCTAGGGTAGGAATACCCCGAGTACCTCTTCTCATCTATCGATCTTTAGTTGAGTAATCTTCAACTGTCCACCGGCTAAACAATAGGTTGGCTAGATAATGACCGAGCCTAAGTAGCCTAGTGCTCCCTCGAGTTAACAAAGTTAAAAATCGATTATCAACTAATGCTACTCCAATCTAAGCCAAGTATAACCTATACAAGTGATGTAGTAAAGGGTTAACTCACGAGGTCGAATTCCACGGGTCCATGGATCTACTACTACTTCAGAACTAATTTATTATCTAGCCTAACCGAGTTTTGAGGTAGAACTAATCTAACCTACTCCTAAACAATCAACCAAGTGGTTGGGAGGTCGGTAGAGATGAAAAGGTTGCTTAGGGTCAAATCCTTATAGCTATGGTTGTCAAGTAGGGCCAACTGCTGTTGTTGATGATGATCTGCTTGCACATGACATAAGTAGAGTAGAAGAATAAAATAGGGTCAGCTCATAGCTGAGTGAGATAATCATTGCATAGTGAGTTCATAACAAAGCATACCCTTAACATACATCTAGCAATCAAGCCCAAACACTAGGGTCAGACCTCACCCATCCAACATCCCAATAGGCAAAAGACTCAACCACCTTGACTTATGCATATGCGTCTTATCATATTTTATTTATAGGCGCCTAGCTACTTCCATGTTAATAACTCTCCCAGGAAAACATACATATCCAATATCCCGTATGATGTGGCCATACATACATACATAGATACATACATACATACATACATACATACATACATACATACATACATACATACATACATACATACATACCACCATGTGTGAAGCCATACTCGGCACCGCTCTGGGTGTGGTCAAATCTCGTGAGTAATCTTCAGACTTCAGTCATCACCACATGAGAGGTGTGACTATCATACATATCATAATCTTCAGTCAGCACCACATGAGAAGTGTGACTATCATACATATCCTAATAGAGTAATAGTATGGGGAGCCCTAATTACTATCTAATTGACCATGAGACCATAACACTCTTATTTGGTATCCTTATGCATGATTCATATCACATCTTGCTTAATAATTCATTACTTGGACATGTTATTGACATGGCCACATTGGCTCAACATAGGTAAACCATGAGTCGTATAATTTCACTTCCTCGAGTTAAACCCTCGTGCAAGTCATCCTCCTTAAATATCATAATATAATTCTGGAAAGTATATTTCCCCACTTGTGAATCCAAATACAACAATCATGTGAACTTATATTCAAACACTTTCTCAAACCATCATAGAGTCATGTCAACTGTAAAGTCCACAAATGGCAACATATATGCAATCATCAACATAAACAAACAAGGTCCAAAACGAGTAGGGCAAGGAAATAATATCATATAGCAGGCAAGGGTTCATCATATAACACAAAAATCCATACACTCCTAATAATGCCATTCTAGTTCACCTAGTCCACATGGGTTCAAACCTATTAAGGCCTTCGTCAGTAGCTGAATAATAATTTTAACCAATCTTGTTGTCTAAGAAGGGGCCTGCCCTCTCTAACTTGTTTTTTGCCGATGATTTGGTTCTGTTTGCTGAAGCCACTGTCCCTCAACCCGATCTAATCATGAAATGTCTTGAATTTTTTTTTTCTGCTTTTGGGGAGATACTCAACTCTAATGTGAAATTTGCTTTTTTTTTAGTAAACGGAGCGAGAAGGCGCTCCAACCTATTTTTGCTTTTTTCTTTATTTTAAAACAAACATAAATATGAAAATATCAACATTGAAGTTGTGAATTGGTTGAAGGCGCATAGTTAAATAATTATATTTACTTTTTCGTGTGTGTAATTATAGTATTGTATAGACTTTTTTTAGTTCAATCCAAATAAGCTTACCCAAATTAAAACAAATCCAAACCCAAATTCAAATTTATTAAAAATACATCCTACCCAATTTCCATATATGGGTGATGACAAATTGACAATCGGGTTTAATTTCCGGAGAGCGGATCCTGTCAATAACCTTGTAGTCAATAACTATACATAACCCAATCAGAATTCGCCACATCGGCACCTCTTCTCTCCCCTGAAAAGCCTTTAATTTTCTCCCTTAATCTTTAATGAATATTGTTAAAAAAAAATCTTTAACGAATGATTTTTCACTCGTTTTAAGTCGAAATTTAATTTGTTGCACAATTAGATTAGATTAATTGTGCTTTTCAAAATGATATCCAATTTGATATATTTTTTGAACAAAAAAAATTGAGTCATTTTTTACCACTCTATACCATATGGTATTGACTAGTAACGAAATAAGAGCATACATATGGTATGAAAAGCGTATCATGGTGGTATGAACAAACCGAGACTGTAGGATGGTTGAATACATGATATTAGAAGTATATTAACTGTCATTTACGACTTTTAACATTGTGTACCACAAGATACCACCCCGTACCAGGGGTTATTGTGTGGTATTTTTTGGTCCTGTATTTTGTTCACCCATAAATTTGTAGATTCAATAGATCATGATGAACTCGTTCCTTCTGTGCAAAATTTTTCAAAAACGAATTATAAATGAAGAAGATACCATATTGTATGCAGTTGGTACCGAGAGGCAAGAATTTTTTTTAACAAAAATATTGAAAATGGATCTTATTTTGTAGAGCACAACGAACTCGTTACATATGTGCAAAAAAATTGAAATATGTGTTAAAACGAAGAAGATATCAGCCGATTAAAAAAACAAGAGAAAAATAAAAATGTTTTTAATTCTCCACCCTTAGATCTGAATTTTCTGAATGAATGGTTCAGATTTAGTTACTGATGGGTGCATAACCCATAGTTATGCATTGTATCTTGAGCCTAATTTCCGGGAGCGGATTAGATGCATAACCTTGTGGTCAATAATTCATGCATAACCCAATCAGAATCCATCACATCAACGCCCCTTCTCTCTCCTGGAAAGTTTTTAATTTTTCCCTCTT